TTCCTTTTTTTTTTTTCCCCCGCGGTTATATTTTATTGATCTCTGACTCTACACACTCTGCAATTCCATCCGTAAAAGAAACACTGAACGCCATTTTTTTTTTTTTCACAGCTTTCTCCTCATACTTTTCCCGACATTTTCCTCCCCCCCTCTCTCTCTCTCTTTTCCTCCCTGTCCCTTCCAGATTATATATTTTTTTTTCCCCCTCTTTCGTCATCGATGTCGTCGTCGTCGTCATCGTCATCATCCATCTTTTTCTATTTGCTTTTTTTTTTTTTTTTTTATTTCCCGTTTTTCCTACATTTCCAATTCGTTATCCTCTTTCAACTTTTTACTCTATATCTCGGACTCCATTTGTTTTCCATTTTTTTCCCTCTCTCTCTCTTCTTCTTTTTCTTCTTCTTCTATTTTATTTTATTTTTTTTTTCGTTACGTAACTCTGGATTTGTTAAAAACTTTTTTTTTTTTTTTTTCTATCTGTTGATCCGTTTTCTCTCTCTCTCTCTCTCTTTCTCATTTTATTATGTTCTTCCTTTCCGGAAGGTTTCGGATTAAGTTTTCCCCATTACCTTTTCTTTAAACCTTTTTCCATATTACTATTTTTTTGCCTTTTCTCCGATTTGTTGTATCCGTGATATTACGCCGAGAAAATGAAAAAAAAAAAAAAAATTTTCCCTTCATTCCTCTCTTCCTCTTTCTCTCTCTTTTTTACATCTGTATTATTCCGCACCATTTTTTTTTTCATTTCATGATTCTCATTAAATCTCTTGTGAATATTTCCGTGTAACGAATAATAATAATAACGAAAAGTAATTTTAACTGGAAAAAATTATTTAGAAAAAAAAAAAAAACATACGCTTCGTTAATACGAACAAATTAAAAAAAAAAGTTTTTTTTTGGCGTGTCATCAAATTAATATAATTGTCTCTCTCTCTCTCCCTCTTCCCCTCTCCCTCTCCTACTCTCTCTCTCGCTTTCTCTATCATTTTCTCCAAAAATTCTCACCGGTTTTATTTTTAAACATTCCCGAATTTTTTTATTACTTTAATAAAAAAATAAAAAAAATTTGTTTTCCCCCGTGTCGACCCTTACATGTTTTCTTTTACCACGACGCACGGGGCACGCGACGCTATCTCCACGATAAAATAATAATAATAATAATAAAAAATACACGTAGGAAAAAATAAAAAAAGAGGAAAAATTTTATTTTTTTTGTCAAAACCAGATGTAGTTTGCGTTGAGAGAATATTATTATTGCCTTTCATTCATTTTATTTTTTCAATTTTAATTTTTACATTCGTTTCCTTTCTTCCGCTTTACCTTTTCACTCCTTCCTTCCTCCTTCCTTCCCCTCTTCCTCTCTCTCTCTCTTTCACTTCTTCGAAAAAAAAAAAAAGAGGAATTTTCATTTGCGGTGGAAAATTTTTTTTTTTTTTTTTTTTTTGCGGCTGCGGTGGAATAATCATCAATTTTTTTTTTTTAATCGACGAATTGAAAAATAAATTTAAAAACGAAAACCTAATAATAATGATAATGATGATGATAATAACAATAAATTTAATTTTTTTTTTTCTTTTAGGCTTTTGGAAAAGATAAAAAATTATTATTATCACTTCTTTGGAATTTTCTGGAATAATTTACAATGAGCCCGGATAACTTTTGTGAAAACCGTTAATACGAAATAAAACACGTCAAGTACTCTTCCTAATTACCTATTTATTTTCATCGATAATAATAATAATAATAATAATAATAATAATAATAATAATAATAAAATAATAATAATAATAATAATAATAATAAAATAATAATAATAATAATTTTTTAGCCTGATTTGTTATTATTATTATTTTTTATTTTTTTACTAAATGAAAAGTTAAAATTGTAAATAAAAAAAAAAAAAAAAAAAAGGGAGTAAAAGAAAAAAAAGAAAAAAAATCTCTTAAATGTAAAATTTTCAATTTCGTAATTTTCCTTTTCCTTCCTCATTTTTTTTTTCTCTTTTACTCACTCACTCTTTCTCTCTCTCTTTCTTTCATTTTCTCAGTAACCGTAAATTTTATTTCATTTTTTATATACATATACATACATTTTTTTCTTTTTCTTTACTGTTAAACTACATTTGAACCCAAAACCGCCTCAACACCCAATCGAAAGTTTTTTTCCTCCTTTTCTCTCTCTCTCTCTCTCTCTCTGGAAAATGTCATAATTTTTTTTTTCTTTTTCTTTTTCACCCCGTTTTACTTTTTCATTCAACCCATCAAACCGACATAAAAAAAAAAAAAAAAAAAACTGGAAAAACCAAAAAAAAAAAAAAAAATTTTCCGAGGAAAAAAAATTTTTTTTTTTTCTTTACTCCCTTCCCAATTTCACACGTACGTTCAAATTAAAAAAAAAAAAATTTAATCTCAAAAGAAAATATTTATCGATCGGTATGGTAACGTTCATTCCTATTATTATTATTTCAAAAGATTTTACGCGGGAAATATCGAAATTTTAAATTTTTTTTTAACAGTCGTAAATTTTTGAATTCTTCGACATTCTGTTGAATACACGTATTCGATAGATGACGATAATAATAATAATTAAACGAATTCACTCACAATTGTTGGGAAAAAAAAATTTTTTTTTTTTCTTGCTTTTTTGGATTCGCATCTCACACGACATAAAAAATATTAAAATTCTATTAAAACGAAGTGAAAATTTAATAATAATAATAATAATAAATATATGTAAAAATTGTCTCCGTGAGTGCGAATGGGAAAATATTAATTTCACGACGAGAATAAATAAAAAAAAAAAAAGACGTTAAAATGAAATTTGAAATTTTATACGGTTTTGGCATAGGGTTCGCGTTTCTCAGCAAAAAAAAAAAGAAAACAAAATTTTTTTTTTTTTTTTTGAAGAACTTTTACTTTTGTTTACATTCGAGGTCATCAACCCCAAGGAAAATGGGTAGGGTCATTCAACTCGATTTACAAGGAGAAAAAAAAATATATTCCATTGAAAAAAAAAATGTTTTTCTTTTTTTTCGTAACCATAAAATGCATTTTATGAATGTAAAATAATAACACGGATGATGATGATAATAATAATAATATTAATAAACAATGAATATTTTTCTCTTTTGTAAATCCCTAAACAAATATTTTGGAGTAGAGAGAAAGAGAGAGAAAGAAATAAAAAAAATTTTTTTTTCCTTATTCCAAAGAAGAAGGAATCCGAAAAACAAAATTGAACTTTACATTTTGTAAAAGATCATGAAAAATCTTCTCTTTCTTTCTTTTAACCTCTTTTCCCTCTCTCTCTCTCACTTCGCGTCTTCTCTCCTCCCCTCCCCTCCTTTCCCTAACGTAATATTTCAGAAAATAAGTTTAAAGCAGCAAAAAAAAAAAAAAAAAAAAGATAAAGAAAAAAAGAAAGAAAAAAAAATGTGTGTGTGATAACTTCATTTATGACGTGCTTCATTTGACGAATTTATGACGTCGAAAAGGAAAAAAATAAAAACTGATATCACGTATCACTTATTTTCTTGTCAATTATTCACTGTCTCTCTCTCTCTCTCTTTCTTTTTTTTTACATCCATGAATGATTCTTTTTTTTTTTTGAAAATTGTGAAAAGCAGTGAGACATTTTCATTTTAACACACGGAAATTTGATCTAAATTAGATTTGGAAGAAGAAGAAAAAGAAGAAAAAGATGTTCTCATTTCGACGGGGAAAGGACCGCGCACGTAAGACGTACACGGCGACAACGGAAACGGAAACGGCAAACAGATTTTAAATGAAGATTCCAGGTAAAAATCAAACTTGAAATTTCAATTTTTAAATTCATCATCAACACCGACACACCGAGTTTGTCACACGAACTTTACGAATTTTATGCGGATGTAAAATAATTATTACCTTATTAATTATGTAATTTTAATTAGTCCGAAAACGCGTAACGCACGCACGCACGCACGCACGCACGCACGCACGTGAAAACAATTGTAAAAATTACAAAGAATAAAATAAAATCCGGGAGGATGGGTGGGGGGGGGGGTGGAAAAAAAAGGTTTAAAATGAAAAGAGAAAAAACAAATGGATAGGATATCAATTCCTTATCCCAAAGAATCTTTTTCTTTAAAACTAAAGTCAGAGGATTACACGGGAACGGTCATAAAGTGACCGAAAATGTTTATAAAACTAAAAATTTAACTCGGACAACTTGTTTCTATTTCTTTCATCGGAGAATCGTAAATAAATATATATTTTTTTCAGCAGTAAAAAAACCTGAAAAACCTTAGGTACGAACCTTGTAAAAAAAAGAAATATTAATTTTAAAAAAGAAAAAAAAAAATAAAAACAAAGTTGGCAGCCCTGAAAGCAGAAAAAATATCGAATGATTGATTGAGAGGAAAAGAAAAAATAAAAAAAAAAAATATGATGAAAGTTCTTCTAGAAATTAAACAAACAAACAAACAAACCCAAACAAAAAAAAAAAAAAAAAAAAAAAAAGAGAGAGAGAGAGAGAATCGATTCCCACGAGACGCGCGGAGAAGAGCATAAAAAAATATTTCAACTCGAATTAAATTGCATTTCCGGGTCATCGATTTTGTCGGCGGAGTATAAACAAAACTTTCGCACGCACGCACGCACGCACGCACGCACACCCCCTCATTTTCCCTCCTTCCTTCTTTTCTCGCGTACACATTTCACGAGTTTCAAAATTCCGTCTACGAATTTCCCAGAATTCAAACTCAAATTTCTTAACCGTTTCATATTATTATTATTATTTTCCACATTTTAAAATTAACACAATAACGAACACGACAAATAAATCGTTTTTCATCATTTTCCGGGTACGAATTTTTTTCCCCGAACTATTATTATTATCATTATTGCTTTTTTGTTGATTTTCGCATCATTTGTGATTTCATTTTTTACAATTTACCTTGTCTTTGCTTTTTTTTTTCTAAGAAAACTAAATAAAAAAAGAAAAAAAGAAAAAAAACTAACCTTTCCGCAGTTTATGTATTCCACCGCTGTCTCTCTGAAGAAAAAGTATACGTAATCACCCTGAGTCATGGAATTAACGAAATTTGGAGCTGGAAAAGAAAAAAAAGAAAAAAAAAAATTTAATTGAATTCGACATTTTTCAAAGAAATCACATCGAGACGAAATTTAACAAAAACCGGATGATAAATTTTAACTTTTTTTTTTTACAACGAAATTACAAAAAAAACGTCACCACCCAACTACACTCCCTCCCTTCCCTCCTCTTCCTCCTTACCCCAACGGGGGGGGAAAAAAACGATCACGAATTTTCCTTTTTTTCCACGCACTTTTTTTTTTTTGATACGAATAACAAAATTTTTTAAAAAAAAAAGAAAATTTCGCCGACCGTCGGAAGAAAGAAAATGCGGCGGAAAAAAACAAAAAAAAAAAAAAATTCCCACGGGCAAAAACAAAATGGCCGACACAAAAAATTAACCCCGAAACCCAATCCTTTTATTTGTTATAAAATTTCTTATTTTATTTATCGATTTTTTTGGGGCGTAATAAATTAAACAACGAATTAAAGAAAAAAAAAAAAAAAATTTTTTTCACTTTCACTTTTACTTTCACGCGTTCGATTTTTTCAAATGTGAAAAAATAATAATAATAATAATAATAGTAATAATAATAATATTAGAATAAAAAGAAAAAGGGGGGGGACAGGGGGAAAAAAAAACCTTAAAAAAGAGAGACGGTAGGGTATGAACGGGGGTAATAATAATAATAATAATAATAATAATAATAATAATAATAATAATAATGATAATGATGATAATAATGTGAGAAATAATAAAAAAAAAATTACAAATTAAAATAAAAAAAATATTAAAAACTTCATTATTTATTCAATTTTTTTTTTAATTAATTAAAAAACCGTAAATTAAAAAAAAAAAAAAAGAAAATTTTTACCGTAATTTTTTCTTTTTTTTCCTTTTTTATCATAAAAAAAAATAAAAAAATAAAATGGCAAGATTCATTATTCTGTCGATTTCTTATTACTATTATTATTATTTATGTATTTATTTTTGTTTCGAACGAAATTCGAAATGATTGAAAAAAAAAAAAAAACAATGGAAGCATTTTTTTTTTTTAAAAAAAAAAAGAAAAGTAATAAATTTTCCCAAACACACACACAAAAATAATTTCAATTTTTTATTCTCGCTTCTTTTTTTGGGGGAGGAGCAAAGGGAAGGGAGAAGGAGGAGGAAGAGGAGGAAAACGAGGGAGGAAGGAGGAGAGAATTCATCTCGCAAAAATCTAATAATTTCGAAATCGTGGTGAAAAGTCAAAAGGAAAACAAAGAAGAGAAGGAAAACGGGTAATAAAAAATTCGTGAAATCCTGCCGTCGAATTCCCCTCCCCCCTACGATTCTTATTATCATTATCATTCGAAAATAATAATAATAATAATAATGGAATACTCACCGTTTAAACTCAGTGACACATAATGTTCCGTTTGTAATGGTTCACGATATATTATCGGATCGATACCGGCGAAATCAGCGACGGTACCCGTGTATAATTCTCCATCTGTAAAAAAAAAAAAAAAATTTTCCTGTTTAATTTTTCCGCGCGAAAATTATTTGCATTGCATTGCGGTGACATGGTTGGTTGGTAAAAGAAAAACAAATTATGGCATAAATTAACAGGGCGGAAATAAAATACAAAAATAAAAAAAAAAAGAAAAAATTTCCATAATTATTATCGTGTGTCACGAAAAACTCAATGTGACGTAATAATTATGCAACCGAGTAATATTTTATTATTATTATTATTATTATTATTATTATTATTGTTTTTCCTTTTAATTATTTTCATCAATAAGTAATAAAGACAATAATGATGAATAATAATAATATTTTTATTGTTGTTATTTATGATGTCTTAATAAAAAAAAAAAAAAAAAAAAAAAAAAAAAAAAAATGAGAACAAGACAAAGTAAGAACCAAAAACAAATCTTGTTCTACTGTCGACCTGAGGCAGCTCGACGAGAACGTGAATTTCACTGCTTCTGACCCTGGCCACTCCAAAGATGTTAGTCACTGGAGCCCAGTTCAGGAGACAAATCGTTCCCATCGAAAAAGACGGACTCAGGAAGACCTTCAAGAATTGATGTGGTGCTATCTTATAATAAGTGGCACCACCGAAATTCGAGTATTTGTCCCTAAGGATTCGGGTAGAAACCTCGGATAAATACTTAAAAATCCCGACAAGTAGCCTTGTCGTGTTTAATGGCGGATATTAATAATAATAATAATAATAATAATAATAAAAGAAAATTAAAATTTTTCACGCCGTTTGAGATTTGAAAATTTCCTTCTTTTTTTTTCTTACTCACTTTTCTGTTTTTTTCCTCTTTCTCTCTCTCTCTCTTTTTTTACGGTTAAAAACCTTTTGAAAAGAACTGTCAAAAAAGTTTCAAAGGTTTCACCCGAAAAAAAAAAAGAGAGAAAGAGAGAGAGATAGAGAGAATGAGAAAGAAAAAAGAAAGAAATAAATAACGAAGGAAAAAAAAAGGACAGACAGAAAAAAAAAGAAAGAGAAAAAAAAGGAAAAGGAAAAGAAAAACTGGAAGGAAAAAAAAAAAGAGGAAATGAAGGTAAAATTTAAAAAAAAAAAAGGAAAAAAAGGAAGGAAAAAAAAGGAAAAAAAGGAAGGAAAAAAAAGGAAAAAAAGGAAAAAAAAAACTTTCAAAGGATGATTCCTCTCCTTTTCTGTTTGATAAATAATAAAATTCAATTTGAAATTATTTTCTGACTTTTTTCTTTTTTCATTTTTTATTATTATTTTTATTATCGTCATTATTATTATTATTATTATTATTATTATTATTATTATTATTATTATTATTATTATTATTATTATTTTATTTTTTAAAAAGGAAAGAAAAGTATAACCTTGTTGTTTAACAAAGAAGGAGAGAGAAAGGGAAAGAGAGAGAGAGAGAAAACTTGTATTCCTTTTATTTTAACTTTATACCTTCTTCTTCCACTTTGCCCTCAAACTATTTCTTTTTTTTCTCTTTACACTTCGCCTTCTTTTTCAAACCTATTCCGTGAATCTTTTTCCCTTTTATTATTATTATTTTTTATTAATAATAATAATAATAATAATAATAATAAAAACCTCAATTAAAAAAAAAAAAAAAAAGAAAAAATTGTCTTCTTTTAATAATTTTTCCTTTTGATGTCTCCTTATTATTAATATTAAAGTTCTTTTTTTTTTGTCCTTTTTTTCCGTTTCCTTACAAATAACCAAGATTTCAAATTCCATTCCATTTAAAAAACTTTTATTAATAATAATATTAATATTATTATTATTATAATTTTCCGAATTCATTTCAACGTTTAAAATGAAAATAATAATAATGATAATGAAAAGCAAAAAAAAAAAAAAAAACCAGGATTCTCTATTCACTTTCTAACGATTTTGCGGTGGACTTTTTTTTTTTTTAATCCGTCGGAAGAAAATGAAAAAAAAAAAAATTGGCAAAATTTATTGTTTTGTTCTTTCCGTCTTTTCTTATTCGACGTAAAAATCAATGGAAGAAAAAAAACCTTTTATTTTTATCCTTTTCCCCCACCATCTCCCTCTCTCTCTTTCTCTGTTTAGTTTCGATCCGAATAGAGAAAAAAAAACAAAAAATAAAATATTATTGTTTCTTATTAAAAATAACAATGATGATAAATTTCTTTTTTTTTTCTTCTGAAACATTCCTATATATATTTAGGATACGGTAACGATCATTCTAGAAAAAAAATTTTTTATGGAAGAGAAAAAAAGAAAAACCATCGGAAAAAAATTTTTCCTTTTTTTTTCTGTTTTTTTTTTTTTTTTTTTTTTTTCCAAGAGATTTGAGCAGAGATTTGGATTGGATGTTGAAAAGATTACGATAAAGTACGCATGTTTCGCTTAGAAAATGACGATCGCAATAATAATAATAATAATAATAATAATAATAATAATAACAATAATAAAAACAATGACGGAAACACGAAAAAAAAATTTCCCGATTGATTTTTTTGTTTTTCTAATTAAAAAAAAAAAAAATTGAATGCATTCAACGTCATTGGCGTCATCATCACGTCATTTCGATTAGGAAAATACAAAAAAAAAAAGTTTTTTGTTCTCGTTCCACGATTCGTCCTTGTTTTTTTTCAATTATTAAAAAAATTATTATTATTATTAAAGACTTACCAACATAAACGGCCGTGCTATTATGATGAGGATCGAAAGGACACATGGCTTTTCCATCTTTTTCTTTTTCTACTTTGTAATCTCCATTCTGAAAATGAAAAACAAAAAAATTTTTTTTACTTAGAATTTATCAGTCATAATCGGGAACAAAGTAGAAATGTACCAACTGATCGAAGCCCCCCCTCTCCCCCCCAAAAAAAAAGAAGGGAAAGAGTAAGAGAGAGAGAAAAAATTTCCATTTGGAAAATTCAAATAAATAAATTATTTTGAATTTTTCCATAAAGATTTTTTCATTTCGGTTTTATCGAGAAGAAAAATTTAAGTGAAAAAAAAATTAAATTAAAAACAAAAGTTAAATCCTCGTCTTGCTGTGATAAAATAAAAAAATAAGGACCGAAGGAAAGAAATAAAATAAAAAAAAGGAAAAATAATTTTAAAAAGAAAAACAAGAATTGAAGAAAAACAAAATAAAATAAAATAAAAAAAAAACAAAAATTTAAAATGCTCAATCGGAGCAAGAAATTAATTTTCAATTTCAAGTTAAAGTCAAGATTAAGAGCAAAATAAAAAGACAGAGAGAAAGAGAGAGAGAGAGTGAATGAGGGAGAGAAAGAGAGAAAAAAAGAGAAACTAAAAATTAAAACAGTAAAAAAAAAAGCAGCAGCGCGTGTAAAATAAAAAAAAATAAAAAACTGCTAAACTACTTTCTCTCTCTCTCTTTTTCTCTCTCTCTCTTTCTCCTCTTTCTGTCTCACTTTTAAAGTTTTTCGTAAAACTATTTCATTTTTTATTTTTTGAACGGATCGGTGGAAAGAAAGAAAAAAATTAAACGACACGCGAAATTTTTCTAAAGTAAGTAACGAAAAAAAAACCTACAGAAGACTAGAAGAGAGAGAGAAAGAAGAAAAGATAGAGAGAAAGAGACAGAGAGAAATAGGAAAATTTCTAAAATTAAAAAAAAAATAAAAAAAAAAAAGTGACGACAACGTGACACTGTTGTTTGCAGTCGGAAAAATTCGAAAAACGTTTTCCAAAAAAAAAAAAAAAAACGTGAACCTGACATTCTTTCATTTCTTTCTTTCATAAAAAATTTTATATTAAAAAAAAAAATAAATAAAAAATAAAAATAAAATAAAATAAAAAAAAAAAAAAAGAGAAGAAAAAAAAAATTATAAATTTTTTTAATTTTTTTTTTTTTAACCTACCAACTTGTTCGTCGCACAATCTCGGAAATTTTTTACTACAAAATTTTTTTTCTCTTTCTTAAATTCTATCAGGAGAGAAAGAGTGAGAGAGAGAGAGGTAGAAAAATTCAAAACGCAACTACCCGATTTGACTATTTACCCTCGTTTTTATTCTTTCCCTTTCCGATTTATTTAAAAGGATTAACCACCCATGACACCGTTCAAGGTCACGCTCGTGATAATGATGATAACATTAACAAATAATCCCCCCAACAAAAAAAAAAAACATTACCTGATACAACAAAACCAAATACTACTCTATTTCTTTGTCGAAATGAAGTTTAGAAACCTGGAACCGATACTGAACAAACTACAGCAAGCACGATCAAAAATAATAATAATAATAATAACCCTCACGCAAATAAAAAATAATAAAAAATTTTAATTGAACTTTTTATCCAGGGATTTATTCGATATTTTTCCTCCTTTTTTTTCTCCTTCTTCTTCTTCTCCATCTTTTATTTTCATTGTTTACATCAAAAACTTTACTTAAATTAGATGCAATTATACAATTGAGGAACCTTCGAGAAAATTTTTTCCAAAAGTAAATAACAAAAAAAATAACAAATAAAAAATGAAAAACATTATTTTATAAATACGTTTTAAAACGTTTCCGATCAGACGAAAAAAAAAAAAAGAAAATTTTTACGATTGAAAAAAAAAAAAAAACTTTTGAAAACAAATAAAAAAAAAAAATACGCACCCCCTTCGCCGTTATTATCATTATTATTATCATCATTATTTAAATTTACAATAATAAAAAAATCATTTTTCCATAAAAAAAATAAATAAATAAATAAACAAAACGCTCGCAAAAGAAAAAAACGCGCAAAATTTCGTCTGATCTAAAATATCATCATCATCATCATCATCATCATTATTATTATTACGTATAAATATATAATCTCGAGATGCGACGGAATAAAAACAAATCGAGAAACACAACATTAACCACAAACAATAACAACAACAACAACAGAAACAACAACAATACATTCCGGAAAAACATTCTGAATATAATTTTATTAACTCCGAAAAATAAACCAACTGAACGCACTCGATAAAACATTTTTCAAATTTCTCTCTTTTTCTCTCTCACTCTTTTCCTCTCACTCTCTCACTCTTTTTCTAGGTAAAACGAAATATTTAAACCGTCATTTTTAAATAAAAAAAAAAAAAAAAATTCCCGAAGAAAGAAAGAAAAAAATCAAAAAAAAAAAAAAAAAAAATGTTTAAACAAAAATCCATTGATTAAAAAAAACTGAAAAAAACTGAAAAAAAACTTGAAAAGAGTGGAAAAATTATTAAAAACTCAAAAACAAAAAAAAAAAAGAAAACAAAAAGAAAATCTTTAAGCCTTCAGCCATTTTTACAAAATAACTTTTTAATTATCGACGAAAAAAATAAAAAAATAAAGAAAACAATTGAAAAACTTTTTTTTAAAAAACAAAAACCAAAATAAGTAAAAGAAATACGAACACAAACGACAAAATAAATTTTTTATGATTGATCGATGGATCGATCGAATGATTGATTGATTGATTGATTGATTGATTGATCGATCTAACCGTCTATTCCAATATCTCCCAAACGAAAAATTAAAAAATTAAAAACAAAACAAAAATAAAACAAAAAACTGGATTAACAAATTTTTTTTCTCTCTCTTTTTCTTTCTTTCTCTGTCTCTCTCTTTCGCTCTCTCTCTCTCTCTCTCTCTTTCGAAACAAAAACATTGATAAATTAATTTTTTTTTTGTTTCGTTTTTTTTTTGCTACGGTTTATTGATTTTTTATATATATATATATATATTTCGTTTTTGCAAAAGTTAATTGGTTTAATGTATATAGGAGAATGCAATGACAGCAACAATATTCCTTTCGTTTCTCTCTCTCTCTCTTCCTCTTTCTCTTCCCCCCCATTCGCCCATTTACAACTCTTCTTTGCCTTTTTCACTCCCCTCTCCTCTCCCCCCCCACTCACTCGCGACGATTTGTCTACGTTTTATTTTTACGTACTCGCAGATTAATTAACTTTTTTATTTTAAGTAAACAAAAAAAAAAAAAAAATCCCCGTCTGCGACATTCCCGTTCAAATTTACATAACAAAAAAAAAACTTTTTTTTTTTTTTCGTTACCTACCCCCCTCCCCCCACGACCGTAATTAAATTTAACAAATGAAAATAATTAAATGCCGCACAGCCGACGAATCACGTGACAATTTAAAATCCCAGAGAATAATACCGTTCGAACCGTTTTTTTTTTTCTTTTTTTTGTATGCATTTTTTTTTTTTCGAGGGGGACGGAGCTTAAAAAAAAGAGAGATAGATAGATAGAGAAAGAGAGAGAAAGAAGATTTAAACATTTCGAACAAAGTTAGATAAAAAAAAAAAAAACAAAAAACTAACGCTGATATTTATTATTTATAAAAATAATAATAAATTATGCTTAAATTATTATTATTATTAGAACAAAATGATAAATTATCTTGACGACGTAATAAAAATCGATTTGACTCGAGCGTGAAACTTCTCCCTCCCTCCCCTTTCTATCCCTACCCCTACTCCTAACCCACCCAAAAAAAAAAATTTTTCTCAATTCATTTCTTCTTTATTTTATTCATCCTACAAATGCCTCCTATTGAGAAATTAAAATTTAAAAAAAAAAAAAAAAATTACGGCGATGCTTTTTGCCGAAACGAAAATTATTATTATTATTATTATTTCACGCGGCGAAAGAATTAGTCAAGAGAAAAATTATCAAATAAAAAAATTAGAAAAAGAAAAAAAAAGAAAAGTTTTTTTCCCTTTTCTGATACCTGATTGCTTATCGTATAAATAAAATTTTTTTTTTCCCTCATATATATCGACACGCAAACCAAATAATAATAATAATAATAATAATAATAATAATAATAATAATAATATTAAGAGTTACACAACGAAAAGAATGATAAATCGTACAAGGAAATCTTGTGTTTGATCGGGGCGGTCCATCCGACAGATTCGAGTCGATATACCGACTCACAGCCCTTAAATCCACGATTTGAATGCGAGGGGGGTGAGGGGAACGAAAAGAGGGGGAAAAAAAGAAAAACAATAGTTTTATAAATATCCATTAAAATAAAAATAATGAATATCGATGAATGGAATAACGGAAAATAAATAATAACGACGATTTAGTTTCCGGCGGTAAGAGCGACGGACGGGCCTTTAACACAACCGGAAGTAAATTTTCAAATGGATAAGAAAGAAATTCACGAATCGATACTTTCGAAAAGTGTGAACGACATAAAAAAAAACAAACCGGAAACAGTTCCGAAAAAAAAATAAAAAACCGGAAACGGTTTCGAAAGAAAAAAAAAAAAACTAAATAATACAAAACACTGAAAATAATAGACATTAACGCGAAATCGCACGCGTGAATGTCGCAAAATGTTTCGTAAAAAAAAAACACCCGATAATAACAATAATAATGATAATGATAATAATAGTAATAATAATTCCGACGAAATACGTTTTTGAAAACTCGAATGAAAGAAAATTTCTAACCGGATAATTTGAAATCTCGAAACTAACGCATCGCGTGTGAGAAAGAAAATAAAAAATAGTAATAATAATAATAATAATAATAATAATAATAATAATAATAATAATAATAATAATAACGACAATAATAATAATAATAATAATAATAATAATAATAATAATAATCGTTGAATAAAAAGAAAACGAAAAAAAAAAAATTTTTTACCGTCGAAAACTCGATAAAAAAAAAAAAAATGGAGGAAGAAAAAAAAAAAAGAAAACTTCCGGTATTTCAAGTAAACACAAAACGGACCTCGTCGACGAACGATAATGATGATGATGATGATGGTTATTTAAAAAAGAAAAAATAATAATAATAATAATTCTATAGCAGGAGCGTACCGAGTTGGAAAATTATAAAATTATCGAGAAAAACATTTTCAGTCTCAAAAGTCTATAATATCTAAAAAAAACAGATTTTATTCATTAAGCTCGTGTGATCATTTAATGTAAACATTGATTCGCTCCATCTTTATCTGTCTCTCTCTCTCCTTCTTCTCCTACCATCCACTCACACCTTACCTCAACATTCTCCTTATCGTTCTGGAAAAGTCTGAGAGGGGGGGAAAATAGGAAAGAAAAACAGAGTAAGAGAGAGTGAGAGAAAAGATTATAACTCCAACTAATTTCCTTAAAATGATATTAAAAAAAAAAAAAAATTAAAATTGAAAAATAAAATGAGAGAAAAAAAAAAACTTTTTCGGTTTTTTTTTATTTTTGATTTTACGTACCTGATAAGAATATTCTCTGCAAACTGGAGTGAATGCGTTTGTACCGCACAGTAAAAGTTTATCAGGACTCGGTCGGACTAATATTCTAATAAAGTTCTGACATATTTCCTGGAAAATAAAAAAAATAAAAATAAAAAATTTAATTAATTTATTTTTCTCCGGGCAACAACAACGACAAGAAAATAAAAAAAAAAAAAAAGCGAGCGAGTGAAGGAAAATAATTACAATTTACGTTTTTTCTTTTTTTTCTTTCCGCTGGAAAAAAAATATGGAGAAAAGAAAAATAAAAAATAAAAAAATAAAAAGTCGTCGCGTAAAAAAATCGTCGCCTTCAAAAAAAAATATTATTATTATTATTTGTGGGTGTGCAACTAACTTTCCGGAGACGTGGAAGAAGAAAAAAAACAACCGCCAAAATCACCGCCATTTTTTTTCCTCCGTAAGTTCAATAATTTTTTTAAATCTTTAAATCTCGATTTCCGTTTTATTAAAAACAATAATAATAATAATAATAATGATGATGATAATACATTGAAAAACCAAATCCAAACGATTTAAAAAAAAAATTTTTCATTTTCATCAAAACCGGAAGTAAAGAAAAACTTTAAAAAAACAACCGATCGTAATTTTTTCATCATCATCATCATCATCATCATCCATCCATCCATTAAACAATGAGATTAACATTTTTACGATCGATTTCCTGCAGACGATAAAAAATATAAAAAAAAAACATTTAACCGCATTAGTGACCGGTTATGACACGAATCGATTTTTTTTCCTTTCCTTTTTTTCCTTTTTTTCCATTTTTTTTTGTTCAGAAGCCTTTAAGTTGTCGTCGGTGACATTTTTTTTTTTTTTTTTTTAAAACAATTTATCAAGCCGTCCGAAATATCAACCAATAATGATTTAGTTATTTGGACGATGATAGTTTTCCACATTTTACGTTTTGATTAAAACCACGAATAAAAAAAAACGGAAAAAGGGGGGGGAGGAAAAATGAACGGAAGTGATTGATTGATTGTTTTTCCGAGAAAAAACATAGATATGTATGTATATAAAGTTCACACTTTCACACCTCGATGAAAAACTCGACATACGACGCACAAACGAAAAAACAAAAATAATTAATTAATCGATAAATCCATCGATAATTAATCGAACGACGATTCAGACCTATTGATTTTTTTCCTCTCCTCTTTTCTCCTTTCCCTGCTACCCCCCCCCCAAAAAAAATAAATTATTTTCTAATTGTACGCAATCGGATTTTGTTATTGTTCTTGTTGTTTTTAATATTAAAAAAAAAAAAACCGGTCACCCTAAAGGACAGATGGGAAAGAGTGAGAGAGAGAGAGGGGGGAAGGGGAAGGGGAAGGAAAAACAAAAAAACAACCCTTAATTTTTCCAACGCGAATGTAATTAAACGTTTGAATGAAATTATTAATAAATAAAAACCGGTCGCCATTTTCTATTTATTTTTTCCTTTTTTTTTTCATTTTTTCATTTTTTTTTTTATTATTAATTAAAAATAATTTTTACAACAACGGCGCCGCCGGTCGGAGGAGAATGGAGGGAGGAGGGGTGGGAGGAAGGAGGGACAATTAAATTTTTTTTTTTTTCAATTAACAAAAAATAAAATAAAATAAAAAAAAACTAAAAATGTTTTCTAACTGATAAGACAAAAAAAAAATTAAATTTCATCTGTTGTTCTATGCAAAAAAAAATAAATAAAATAAATAAAACAATAATAAAATTTTAATCGTCGTGGCTTTAGTTCACCAGTGACGTGAAAACATACGAGAAGGGAATTCAATGTTTTTATACACGCACACGCGCACGCACGCACACAAACGCATAAACGAGGAAAAAAAAAGAATATTATTCTTTAGGGGTCGTTGAAAAACAAATATTAATTTTTTCTCTTTCGTTTTTTTTTCTCTCACTCTCTCTCTCTCTCTCTCTCTCTTTCTCTCACTCATTGTTTATTCCGATGCATGATAAAGGAAAGTGGGGGGGTGGGAGTGTGTGGAGGAGGAGAAAAATCAAATTTTATAAATAGGAAGAGAATAGAAGAGAGAGAGAGATAGAAAAAAAAATAAAAAAAAAGAAATGAATCGATGAACCCGATCTGGGTTGAAACATAACCTTTTCACCTTTCTTCTTCCTTTTCCCCTTACACCTACTACTACTCTTTAGGTTAAACCCGATTTTTCATAATTCTCACTCATTCCTCAATTTCAACAACACCTTTCATCACCTTGACTAATACATATATAGATACTTTCGCTAAAGTTTTCTAATCGAATTACAAACGGATTTAATTTTAACGATTAAATATATTTATATGTAGAGCGTCAAATGTTCTGATAAGAGTTTTTGTAAGGTTAATGACTCTTCCTACTCCATCTTTATCTTCTCTTTCTTTCTTTTCCCCCTTTTCATTATTTTGCCCTTTTCTTCTCTTTCCAAACTCGAATGAAAAAAAAAAAAAACCAAACGACAAAATTCAAAGCGGATGGAAAAAAAAAAGGAAAAATCTCGTGCGGTGATGCAGCATTCATTTAACGACCGTTTATCGGTTTAAAAAAAAAAAAAACTTTTCTCGATAATGAAATTGGGAAGAGGGAGAGTAAAAAGCAGAAATTTTTTTTTTTTTTGGGGGGGGGACTTTCAATTCGTGACCGGTCGTCAACTTACGAAACCTGCAGTAACCGGTGAAAAAAAAAAAATTTACTTTCTACACGTAATATTTTCCTTTCGTTTCTCTCTCTCTTTCTCTCTTCTATATACTTGCCGAAAATCACTTTCATTCGTTTTTTTCCCTCTTTCTATCCCCTCCCCGACCCCATTTTAACTCTCGTAATTTCGAGAGGGGAGACACAACGCTGGCTTCGGGCTTAAGAAATTATTTAACGGAATTAATTTCGAAAATGAAAAATTTTTTATTTTTTTTTCCGTATAAAATTGACAATAATGCAAATTAGAAAAAGATTAATAATAAATTTTACTCATTTATAAATTTTTTTTTTATTCTCTCTCAATTATTTTACCGAATGAAAAATTTAAAAAATAATAATAATGATGATGATGATGATGAAAAATAAAAACGACATAAAAATAAAAAAAAAATCCGTAGGAAAATAATAAAAACATAAAATAAAACAAAAAAAAAAATTTTTATTACGTTCTTAAACAAACGATTGTGACTACATTAAAAACGAATAACACAAAACAGACATGGCAATCATCGATTCATTAATCGATAAATATAAAAACATTAGAATCGAAGAAGGGGGAGTGGAGGGGAGGAGCGGGGAGAGAGAAAAACAAATAATTGCGACCCGATAAAACCGAGGAAAAAAAAAAATAATCCGTTCGCGAAAAATTCAAAGTTTTCTGCTGGTTGCTTCGTAAAAAGTGCGATGTAAAATGTCTTTGCGGTTGCCAACACATTTCTCCTCCCTTTCTTAAACTTTCCCCCCACCACCACCACCTTCTCCTCCTCTTCCTCATTACCTACAAAATTGTTTAAACTCGAAAGTAATAACAAATTATGGTTTAAAATGTGACACGTAATGAATGGAAATAGAAAGAGAGAATAGGGAGAGAAGAAAAACGACTCGCGATGTTTGCAGGAGTTGCGAAAAGACGGGGAGGGAAAAAGAGGAAAAGAAGGATTCCACATCACACAAGAATTGGGTTAAATATTATTTAAATTTGATTTGATATGAAATTATTTATTATCCGCTGTGTAAAAAAGATTTATTACGCTTTTTCATAGAGCGTGATGAGAATATAATTAAATTATTTGATAAAACCTTAATTAATGTATTATATGAAAAACGAGAAAGAAAAATCCGCCTTTTTTTTCGCTTTCGCATCGGAAAAAAACGAAGTAAGAGCGTAAAAGAAAAGACAGAGAGATAGAGAAGGAGAAAAGAAGGAAAAGAAAAGGTAACGTTAATTTTTTTTTTTTTTAAAAAGTCAAAAAGATGTGAACACAAACTATCGACGTGTTAAAAGTTAAAAAGTTTTTGTTTTTTTTTACCAGGAAAAACTGGTAAGAACAGGAGTCAAAAACTTTTTATCCCGGAAAACTTTTATGAAAGTAAGTTATGCATGACGGATGGAAATGTTTTTGCGGTCAAAAAGTGGTGTGGTCACGCCCGGAAAAGGAAATTAATCATATTTCAAATTCTACGTCTCTTGCCCCCTCCCACCCTCCTCCCTCGTTAAATTTGTTTTAAAATTTATACCTTCCAAAAAAAAAAAAAAATTAAATTCCTGGAATTTGGCTGGAGAATAATAACGCGCGTGCCCCCCATCGTCCTTCTTTTTTTTTTTTTTTTTAAAACCTTTTCATCAAACTTCATTTTTTTCTAGAATTTTCCTTTTAATTTAATTACGATATATTTAAAATAAATAAATAAAAAATAACCGCATAATTTTTTCCACTCTACGATCCAAGTCACATCTGGAGCCTTCAATTTTCAAAAACATTATTTATTTATTTTTTTTTTTTCTTCTTGTTTTCCCCTTTCCCCTTTCCCTCCCCCCATTCCTCAGTACTTTTCGCCATTTTAATAGAAACGAAAAAAAAAAAAAAAAAAGCATTACGTTACAAGGTTTCCTTTTTTTTTTTATGAAATCCTTTTTAACCGAACATGAATAAAATAGAGGCATTAAATCAAGAATGACTAATTACAAACGAGAGAGGGTGTAAGAACGAAAAAAATAAATGGACTCGACTTTAAAAAGAGGGGGAGACAGAAAGAGAGGGGAGGGGGATGAAAAAAAAGGAAAAGGGAAAAAGGGACAAACGAACAAACAAAATCCGGTTAAATAAGAAAAATAAAACAACAACAACAACAATATAATGGCAATTAAAAACTTAATTATTACTTTCGGTTTTGAAAATAAATTTTTTTTTTTTTCAAACAAACAAACAAGCGAACAAACAAACAAACAAACGAAAAAGGGAACAAACTCGAACAAAAGACCGAAAAAATTATTATTACAGTTTTTATTCTTCTCCTTTTTTTTTTTTTTATTTTGAAAATAAAAAATAAAAAACGACAAAAGAATTTTGTACGTTAATAAAAAAAAAA